ATCGATAAGACATCAGAAATATTGAAACAAAATATCTATTTCTGTAGTGTTTTTATAACATATTATGTTATAATATTTGAATTAATTATGTATGTATATATGTGTGTACGTGTCGACTAAAGTTTGTCATCAAACAGTAATTTAAAAATAAATAAATATAGCATTTAAACTTGATTTTTTTAAATCAAATTCACCGCAAGTAAGGCAATAAAGCGACTATGGCACACAGGATTACTGAATGGGAAATAATTAGAAAACAGAAACGATATTAAGGAGCGAAAAGAGTAATCAACAACACAGTAGATAACGATTGACATTGCATTTAAATTTTAAAGATCAAAGTTAGATGGAAACCATGGCATCAGAAGAGTGTTCTACAAGCAAGAAGTGCACGAAAAGAAACTGTTACCATAGATCTTACGAATATATCTACCCAATTTAACTGTAAATTGATAGTATCTACTAGCTTATCTAGGAGCACTTAAATTCCCGTACCATAGTGAAGAGCTCAACCGAACAATTATCATGAAATCATTTATAGAATTAACACAAGTAAGCAACATTACGGCGGAGGGTGAGGATTTGACTGAAGATGAGGTGCTAGGTGAATACCAATAATATTGCTGATTCTTTGGATTTTATCGAGAATCTCTATATATAGCAGGAGCACCGGACCATATGTGGCAGCAATATTCAAAGCAAGAATGAATAGTAGACTTATAAATAATAAGAAAGATTCTGGAGAGAAAAAATGTCTGGAACAACGCAAGTAAACAACTTCATTAGCAACAGACCAGGCAGTGGATTCAGTTTTGTCTTTTCACTTCATGTCAGCCGAGAATGTTACAGGCGCAATGGTTCACTCTCCTGGAGGTTAGCATCAGCCATACTGATGAAAGGAAGAAAAGAGGTCTCTCAGATAATTAATAGATAACATTTTTTGTTTTGAAGCTGTTAAAATTAACAACCCATTCATTCTTTGTCACAGTCAACAACAGGCTGCGGGTTATTTTTTTAGATCAGCTGCCAATTTGACCCTACTGAATAATCATGCTTACTATAAAGAAAGGAGTAAATGTTTGTGTCCTCAGCATAGATAACAAGTTGAGATTTGATGCCACCAGGATGGTCATTGGGGAAAATTCAGAATAATGTTGTTCCAAGAATATAATCCTCGTGAAAACCTGTATTGAATTTTTAAAGCCCGATACTAACGAATTGTTAGAAATTTTTCCTTTCCATTAACACCTTGAGCCCTGACCACCGCTTTACCGGTTGTAAAGAAAAATAGCGTAATGTCCAGTCACCGGTTAAACTTGTAATTATTTTTATATCTTCTGAAAGACATTACATACTAATTATTTACGACTTTTGACTCAGGAGCTCAGGCAGAAGTGTTAAAATTGTTCAGAAACGTAATAATCAAAGGGTTAAGTCTATTTTCTGGAAGACATCTCTCGCTATGCCAATACGTCTTCGGATCTCTATGCCACATTTTCTGCTATCTGTTATGATACAACCCAGATTGTTAAACATATGTACTTGCTTTTATTATCCCTGCTCCAAAGTATACTATTTGGGTTGTCTCGTTTGCTGACGACTATTAGTTTTCTTTCCCCAATTTAATTGTCAGTTCTTTTACTGTTGCTTTCTTTTACTCCTTTTTATAGGATTTCATTTAATTTCCTTATTTGTACCTGCCATCAACACAGCGTCTTTTCTGTATTTATTCGCATGCACTATAAGGTTACTGTTTCATATTTTCTGGCACATATTACTATTTTTGACGGTCCCAAGCGAAATATATAAGAAAACAACAATTCATATAATTACCGGTACTTGCACAATTGATAATAGATAAAAGAAATAATAAGAAAAGAAAATAATTAAAAGTATTTTGAGAAAAAGAGAACGAAAAAACAAGCTACCTAGCTATACTAAAAATATGTGGGATGCCGTAGTATCATTTACTATAGTGACGTGTATTTATCCAAACATTTAAACCCCCAAAATAAAGATCGAAGAAAGTAAATGAATATTTTATCTTCGAGAAAGTGTAGATGCTAACAACATGTAGAATTTCGGTACATGCTTTAGACATTTTGATAGAAGAGGACATTTTGTAAACTAATCATTTTAATGAGCTGAGGATATGAACGAAGGATCATTTTCTTTTCTTTTTTTTTTTTTTTTTTTTTTGTGAAGCTCGTCAATAAGATCAATCACTAAAAATCCTTTTAAAATAATCTGTTCCCTGTTCTTCTCTTGTAAATAACTGACTCCGACTGCCATTATCCACCTTTACAAGAACCAGATCAGGTCGAAAATACACTTGCTGCTATATCTTGGCTGGAGTTTTCCAGTTTTCACTTTCTCGTCTTGATCATGACAGGAAAAAAATCCATGAGTTGTTCGATGAAAATGTAATGTTACTTGCTTGGTTTGGAATTATTTAATGTTGCAAACCACCGGCCTTTTATACATTTAAAGCTAGATCAGCGAAGAGCTCGCAGACTGTGGCTATCTAAATTAATCAAAGAGAATTTTAGGCAGAATTGTCACTATTTGTGGATAAGAGAAGGCTCCAGGAGTATATAAACAGATACATACAATCCAAAAAAGTAATGCATTATCTCGCGCAGAAATAGAGAATGATATCTGAAAAAAAAAAGATTTCTATATCACCCTGAAGATATTGGCAATTAGTGTGATGGTGAAACGCACCTATTCTATAGTTAATAGACTCTCCCAACTAATGTAAGTAGGAGTAGTAAGAGAAACGAGGGTCAGTCGATGTCGGACAAGCGGCTAAACGGTTGAACTCTCTGCCTTCGGGCGGGGAGGAACCCGAACGAGGCTACGGGGAAGTAAACCGGCTTTGAACCCGTTTATATGGGCATATTTGTGGGCCGAGCCCATGGGCTCGGGGAACCCACAATAAATAACCGACCTTGTGTCACATGATACCCCAGTGGAAGAGGGTGTGTTGACTGAATATCCAGTCGATGTCGGACGACCGGCTGAACGGTTGAACTCTCTGCCTTTAGACGGGGAGGAACTCGAACGAGACTACGCCGACCCTGAACCCGTTTATACGAGTTCAAAGGGTATATTTTTGGCCGAGCCCACGGGCACGGAGATCCCACGTTAAACCGGCCTTGTGCCACATGATACCCTCGTGGGGGGGTGACTAAATACTAGTCGATGTCAGACGACAGTCGAACTCTCTGCCTTCGGACAGAGAGGACACCGGACGAAGCTATGCCGAAGGGCAGAGTTTCGTCCGGGGAGGTAGACAGACCCGATCCCGTTTATGCGGGGTCTACGGGGATTTTTTGGCCGAGCCTACGGGCTCGGGAACCCCACATTAAATTCGGCCTTGTGCCACATGTGACTGCGTGGGGCAGTTACTAAAAAGCGTCGATGTCGGACGACAGTAGTCGACAGTAAGTCGAATGCGAAAGTAGTCAGCGACCACAACAAGATTACTCTGCGTAATACCTATTATAACGAGTTCCTAACGTTTTGTACGTCGAACTATTTAGGACCGATTTAGTACAAATACAAGCCTCCACTGCGAAATAACTCCACAACAATTAGATAATATGTATAATTTTATATAATTCTTCTTGAGTTTCCTTATGGCATTTCTGCATTTTCCATATATTTTTCTTTTTATACGCCGTGATATTTTGGGAAGACTGCGGTCATGGCTCCCACAGTTTTCCAATTTTTCTTGCTCTTAGTAACATTTGTCCATTTATCATCCTATTTGGTCCTTTTGCCACACATGCACAGAAACTTTTTAAGTTTATATGTCCGGTAAGTTTTAAATTCTCCAAACCATATTTTCTCATTTCCCCTCTTCGAAATTCACTCTGTCTTCTGATCGATGACTTACGCTCATATCACGTTCAAATACCAGTTCTCATCCTATCATCGAAGTTAAAACAACCTGATCAATTCCTGGGTTGGTGACAGCTTTAGAATACTCGGAGATATAAATGGAGATGTGTGGGTGGTGTAATTTATAGCGGCTCGGATTTGATAATCAGAGAGTCAAGTTCTAATTCCCGTGGGTTTCTTTATATTCACTTACTCGCAAATACGCTTGGGAAAGTTATGAATCCAACTCTTCTTCCCCCATCTAGATAGATAATAATAGTACTTGTATCTATAAATTATTATTATCTTTAAAAATTCTTAAAATTTATTTATTTTTCATGGCTTTAAATAACCTACAAAAGGTTGTTAAGCTATAAAAACAGATCAATCAATTCGCCAATCTTTTGATTGAACGTATCATCTGTTTTCATCGTCAATCTTCTTTAAAACTTTATCGTTACAAGTTTTTTATTCATATGAGAGGAGATTCCACAGTGTTTACTGGCATATAGGAGTTTAGAAACAAAATCTCAATCAAGAAGTTTTCTTCTATCTTTCTAACGAAATCTTACTATTCTATTATACATTGGTTAGTTTTGATTTTTGTTTTTTGTTTTGTTTCACGTTTTAAGTCATTTCTTGTCATTTTCGATTCAATATAAAATCTGTGAAAACAAATGTTTATCATTTTCCGCCCCTGTTACTATTTTTGAAGGATCTGTACAAAATATATAAGAAATCATCAATTCATATAATTAAATATACTTCCACAATTGATAATAGATTAATAAAAGAATAAGAACAGAAAATAATTAAAAGTTGAGAAAAAGAGAAACGAGAAGCAAGCTAGGTAATTAGTTAGCTAGCTAGCTATACCGAAAATATGTGGGACACCGTAGTATCATCTACGTTTGGTACAAGTATTTATCCAAACATTTAAAACTCCAAGATCAAAGAAAATAAGTGAATATTTCATCTTCGAGAAAGGGTACATGCTAACAACATGTAGAAATGCGGTACATAATTTATACATTTTGATAGAAGAGGACATTTTGTCAGCTAATCATTAGTGATGGGTTACATATTCTTCCAGAATAGATAATACATGAAAACACCTAAAGGAAAGGAAGAAAAAGAAATTTGAGAAAAGAAAAGCAAGAGGAGAAAAAATTCAGGAATGAAGAATAAAATAAAAATTAAATAAAGAAAGTGGAATGGTAAACAAAAGAGAAGAAGAAAAACGATCAGAAGAAGAAAGAAAGAAATTCTAGAAAGAACAAAAGCAAGACACACAAATGAAAAGAATGAAAGTAAGAATTAAGAAAAACATTAAAAAAAAGGGCGAACCAAAGAAATGTTTGTGATATATCCCGGAATGGGATATATTTGTTCGAAGTAGCTAAGTGGTTTTGGCTACTGTGTCCAGGTAGGACAATCTAGCAGGTAGCCGTAATGGACTGGTACTCGTCGTAGTCGTAGGCAATATGTGAAGGCAATGGCGTAGAATATAGGAGTAGACCAATGTACCTCCACATCAGCCTGTATTTATGGCTGACACCAGCCAATCATATACTGTGAGGGCGAACCCAGGTGTACGCATATTCATTACATCATTTTGTTTAAAGGCATATCAACTCCTTATAAGTCATTTAATGCGGATTTTTAACCAACTTTGATAAATTTGTTTACAATTAACATCAATTAATGGAACTTTTTAAATATTAAAATCTATTGCTGGAACGTGGAACGTTTTTAATATCAAATCTATTGCAGTTATTTTTTTTCCACTATAAAAATCTATATTTATAGTTTCATAGTGTTTTGAATCCAGTTTTAGGGTTCACTATTTGCTCATAGCTGGGACCCAAACAGGGTCGACGACAACAGCCATGAAGAGGTGTTTCCACGTTCCTCAAAACCTCCCGATCAGATGTAGTCTATCGTCATACCCAAGACGAGGAAAGAAGGAAGAATATATATATATATATATATATATATATATATATATATATATATATATATATCAGAAGTAATAAAGAATTTAGAGCGGAGGAAAAAAAAAAGAAAATATATAAACAAAATAAAGAATCCTATAGAAGTTTTATAAACAACGTTTAGAAAACAGAATGGAATTAATAAAGGAGAAAATTAAATAAATATCAATGGAAGGCCGTACTTTTCAATATGACGTTCTGATTTGAAAGTGAAATGTAATATTTGTTTGTGAACTGACTTTTCGAAAAACCCAATTTATTCCATTTTCAGCGTGGAGAGGCTTTTAAGAATGAATACTTTTCTCTTTTATAAGTGACCGGACACAAGTTTTTTTTACAAAATTGTCTCATATCTTTAGATTTGGATCTTGAATTAAATTATCATTTTTTGAACGTCAAGCAATTGTATTGTTTTATGTTGGATGACAAGGGGGAAGAAAGGGGTAAATCTTAATGCACGAAAGTTATAAGAATTGCTCTTTACTTTAAAAAGAAATTGTCAAAATAAAACGAAAGAATAGAGAATAATGATTCGCTTTTATGGAGAACATAATCAACGGAATAGAAAAAAATGACATGAAATTTCAATATTGGTATCAAGTGAAACGTAAAAGAAATGAAAACATCAGGACGAAATGAATGGCAAGAAAATTGAACGATGAAAAAAAAGAAAAATTGAAAGTAAGAAATTAAAAGAAAAGTAAGAAGGGAAATTGTGTGAGTAAAAAAAGAAAAAGATGGAAAAGAAAACGATGCAAATGGAACATTCAAAATAGGTAGAGGGTACGATGATAAAATGCGCGATCAGAAAGTTGTAAAAACACGAATAGGCTTAAACGGAAGTAAGACACTGAAGATTTTTAAAAGCTTCACTTTGACAGGAAGTGCGAATATTTGGTTTTGTTTTCACCATTAAGTCATTGTGGCTTGATTTGAAATGGCTGTATTTTAGTCATAATCCGAAAAATAAAATGCAAATAGCGTTTATTTTATTTATTGATTTAGAAATCCAAAAAGACATGTAAATAAACTTATAAAGTTGACAGTATTGTTTCAGTTGTCAGGTTTGGAGGCAATAAAATGATTGCTGCATGCGTCCTCATGAAGCAATTATTTATGTCTCATAATATTAATATTGCCTTCGGTTCAATTCTCACTGGATTAAGTATGTTAAGTTTCGTAAATGTCTGTAAAATGATTTATGTCATACACTGAAAATATTTTTCGTAGTTTAGTTCATGACAAATTTATTCTACCATGATACATACAGCTATGATGACACTTCCACATATAGATAGGTAGGAATCAGCGTAAACATATATATAAACACATATATATATATATATATATATATATATATATATATATATATATATATATATATATATATATATATATATATAATTATTTATTTAAAAATGATTCCAACACGCTACATAAGAGGTCTCATGTTTCAAAACAAGAGCCGAAAACTTCAATATAATTATTTTAATTAAATTGAATTAAAGTAAGCTCTGTTCCATCTTCAAGCGACATTTTTTTGGAATAACTTATTTCTGAAATCTACGTGTTTTAATAGCATTATTGAAATCAAAATTTACATGGTAACAGCCAGAGCGATTGTTTAAATAGAAAGAGGTGTTAGGTGTTAATAATTTGTATCAGTATAAAGTTACATTCATAGATGTCAAGTCAGGGTAAGGTAGGGGTGTCTAAATTTAAAACGGAAGATGTTTTCGCCTAGTCTGGTTTACGTGTCTATGTAGATTTATTTGTTTTTTTTATTTTATTTCTTTCTGAAAGGGTTTTGTGTATATAAAAAAAACTGCCTTAACATTTGTTTTTTGACGACTTCATAAAGGGTTATCTTTTTTGTAGGGTATTTAAACTATTTATTAGGGCTATGGATTATCAAAATTATTTTATTGTATGTTTGTTTTTATGCTAATTATTCAATGCAAAAATTTGATGATGTCGGAAAAAAACCGTTAACTCATGTCTATTGTTTAATAGATTTTTATTATTTAGAAACTTAATAATGTGCAGTTTCTCATGGAGGCACAAAGGGCATGGGTCATCCCAAGTTTTACAAGTTCTAGTCCTGTTTATAATTTTCCATTTCACTTTAGGTGTCCTATTCATTTCCTTCAAATGCCAAAAATATTTTGATAGAGAAGTCTGATTTCTTTTATTGTTGAAAGAGCACTTATGCTGCCTCCATCTGGCTTTAAATTCATTCTTCGTAGACCCAATGTATATCAAATTAGTATTAGGACCCTCAATGGATGAGATAGTACATTGGTATACCACAGATTTTGGTATTTATTTTCCAATGGGCAGTCTTTAGGTTTCTACAACTGTTAATTTTTCACTGTTATTGTCTAATTTAAGTGTAGTGTTTTTATTAATACTATTCAGGCATGGGGGTTTGTTCAGGATTTTATTATTGTATTTTTTTTATTATACTTTCTAGATTTTCAGTGCAGCTGTAACTCAATTTTAGGGTGTTCTTATTAAATATTTTACTAAGTCTACTATTGGTAGGGAAGTGTTTTTCAATTAAAGCTAGGAATTCCTGTCCTAGCTTAATACTAACCATTTGGTTGAACGGAGGGGTATACCAAATGATTTTTCTTTTCCTCTTTTTCCCCTGGTTAGTACAGTTGTTTCTATGTTTGCATTCTTGTATCTACTATTTTTTAGGGCATCTTTATAAAGCTACTGTGTTGTTGGAATATTTCTTTGTTAGCGGAGTTTATGCTGATACTATTTTCTATTGATGAGGGTATATGTTTAATTATGAATGGAGGGTGGTTTGACTTTGGATATATATATAAGGGGTTAGTATTTGGTTTTTTATAAGGTTGGTATGTGTTGTTTGTTAAATCTAGAGTTACGTCGATGAAGAAGTTTACCCTTTTCAATTTAGTACAGACTGTTATCTTTAAATTTAGATTTTTAAATTCACTAAATATAATTTTTCTAATTTTCTCTATTTTAAAATTAGTAGAACTCTTCGCTACCATGAGCCCGTTGTCTCTATACACTCCGATGTCCTTAATATCTATTTCACGATGCGTGGTCAAGTTGTACAGTATTAAAAGACCAACAAGGTCAGAAGACTCTGCAGAGTCTAAAGATCCCATAGTGATGTCAAAAAGGTCGTTATTGTTTTTTATCCATTGGTCCCCATTATGAATGAGAACAGATTTTTTGCACTGAGAATTATATCTATTTCTTCCTTTGTCAGTTTAGAATACACAGCATCAAACTCCAGGGCAGTCGTAAATAGATCCTTCGATATTGACGGGTAGTAATCCACGATATCGAACTGTAATAGGGTGCAATTTGGTTTATTATCAATATTGGTAAACCAATTGATGACATCTTTAGTATTGATCCATAATTTTAATCCAAGCTGTTTTTTTTATTTGACAAGTAATTCTTTCCAGGATTCTTTTGCTGATCTTTCCTATGTCGGGTCGGGTAGGGTTAATTATTCTAGTGGTAGGGTTTTCCATAAAATCTTGTTTGTGGTCTTTAAGAGTTATGTAACATTCCTTTTCAGCAAGTTTGCCTACTCTATCGCTAATTTTTAATTTATCAGTTATTTTTTACTAGCTCTGTTAATGCTATTAACCATATTTATGTTGTTGTTGCAAGCTTTTTTATAAGTCCTTGTTAATTTTTTTTTTAATTAAGTTGTTGTAGTCATCTGCTGTCAATTTATAGAAGTTGCCAGTTTTGTCAGACTTAACTAGTATTTTATCACAATCATTTATGCTTTTAACTATTTGGTTTAGATGTTTTTGGAAGTGGCTTTTCTTTTTTCGAAAGGAGATGTTATCGATAATGTTAAGTAGGTCTTTTTCAAATTCATATAGCTGTTTGTTGAATGGTGCAAATTTTACTTTTAAAGCCGTAAACTTTATTGGTAGTAGAAATATGCCTTCCATCTCATTCTTTTAATTAATTCCTCTGTTTTTGTAAAAGTTTAAAATAATTCCGTTTGTTTGTTTGTGGAATGTTTTTAAGAGAAATTCCGAAATTTACTTTTCCCATATTTTTAAAGTATTTATTTTAAAAATAAAGAGTGCTCGACCTAAATTCGGGAGCTAATATATGTGAAAATATATAGAAAATAGGAAAGAACTCGTTAGGTAAATAATCCAAAGTTCTTTAATATTTTTGTTATTGTCTTTAAAAAATAGTGTTCGATACAAAAGTAGAGCATAAATATAATTATTTATTTAAAAATATGATTCCAACACGCTACATAAGAGTTCTCATGTTTCAAAACAAGAGCCGAAAACATCAATATAATAAACTTAAATATAATAAACTATATATATATATATATATATATATATATATATATATATATATATATATATATATATATATATATTGGAACAAAACAAAAAAATATTGAGAAATTAAAACATTAAAATTTTCAGACACACTGGGTTGTATATTAATATTTTTTGTTTTATTATTTTCAATTAGATTCCTGTATATATATATATATATATATATATAGAGAGAGAGAGAGAGAGAGAGAGAGAGACAGACAGACAGACAGAGACAGAGAGAGAGAGAGACACAAGAGAGAGGCAGAGAGACATAACGAATAGTATGAATGCGAATAAACTGAAATATTTACATATAGTGATAGTGAGATATATGCACAAACGATTACACAAAAACACATACACACACACACGTGTATATATATACACGTATGTGTGGGTACATATATATATAAGTGCACACTGAGGCCAACACTATTATCTTTTTATCTTATATTTTTTATCATATGTGTATATATGTATGTATGTGTGTGTTCGCGTATGTATATATATACAGATCAAATTAATTGATTGATTGATAGATTGATTTGTTTTGACAGCTTATCAATCTTTTGTGGGTTATTTAAAGCTGGAAAATATTTTTTTTCATTGTAGGGATTTCTTTTTAGATTTTAACGATACACGTCTTACTAAATAACTCAAAGCTGGCGGAGAAGCGATGAATACATATCTTTAGATTTGTGCATAAGTGAATATGACGAACTCGACTCGAATTTGAACTCAGCTCTCCGATTTTCAATTGTAAGCTGTTATCCATTCTACCACACACACACATCCAAGCTTACAGCGCTTGGTATTTCAAAACTGATATCAATTTAGGTACTGATCAGGATAGACGTTGCTTATGTTTGTTGATCTTACGGAACCCGGTGTTTCAATGTGATATGGACTTAAGCCTTTATATAGAGCAGAAGAAATGACTCAGACAAAAAATTAATCTGCTTAATTTTTATTAAGTTTTAAATACTATTCAAGAGTATTTTCAGGTCTAGCTTTTGTTTTGTTTCTTTTTTTAAGCATTTCACCCCAAGCAAGGCGGGAAGCCATAGCACACAAGCGGTTACAGGGAGGAGTGATAGAAGAAAGGATGAAGAGGAGGATAGGAGTTAGATCAAGGCATCTATAGAGGTCGATTGACATTACATTTGAATAGTTGCAGATTATAGCTACCAGGGAAACAGGAAATGATGAAGGAGTTCCACGGGCGAGAAGTGCAAGACATAAAGCTATTGGAGTAGAAGTGATATCTACATTTAACAGTTTCGACAGTGAAAGGGTGAGAGCGAGATGCCAGCCTAATAGAACGCTTAAATTTATGAAGTCTGGGAACCTGCGAAAGCAGCTCATTGGAGCAGTTACCATGAAAATATTTGTAAAAAAGACAGAAGGCTGCGACGGAACGTCTGTGACAGAACGACTGCAGACGAGATGCCAGATCACGGCCAATTACATTGTATATCTGTCTCTGGATTTTATCAAGGACCTTGAGACAAACAAAAGGTTTTCCTGACCATAGTTTGTGTTGCTATTCGGGACACTAATAAAAGTCATTGCATTCACAATGGCCCAATACAGGAAGAGATCCAGACTTAAAGCATTCTGGGTATGACGATAAACTACATCCCCGCCCTGGGTAAGACGATAAACTACGTCCAACAGCAAGGCCTCTGATCAGGAACCACCTCTTAATAGATGGTGTTCCCAGGTCCACCCTTACCGAGCTTTATATATTTTACTTCAATATTACTGTAAGATGATAAGTATTTTGAGAAAAAACACATTTTACTGTAGTAAACTACAGCATAAATCTTAACCTTTTACAATATGAAAGATCTTTTAATTTCACTTTTAATGATCATTATCTTAAAGGGATGAACTAGCTTTTATCTTACTATTTAATACGAATTTAAATAATAAGGTGCTATTTTTTACCCGAATACACTCAAATATTTTTAAAAATACTAATTTCAATAAACATTTTTTGAAATAAAATCTTTTAACGTAAAATTTAGATTTAGTGATTAAATTACTTGAAATTCCCTGGTAATTATTAGTCATATTCCACCTTATAATACTTCAAATTAAAATACTTAAAATTATTTACTATTTTCACTTGAACTTTTTCGGTGCAATGTCCGTCGGCCAAATGTTCGGTCACGCATCCTGGAATACTTTAGTTTTTGTTCATGTAGTAATAAATGAAATTTTAGTCAAAAGCAATGTTCTCATTGTTCCCTTTATCTTTAGCAACTATATAGTACCTTTGTTTTATCAACTTTATAGTACCTTTGTTTTATCAACCTTATAATACCTTTGTTTTATCAACTTTATAGTACTTTTGTTTTACCAACTATATAGTACCTTTGTTTTATAAACTATATAGTACCTTTGTTTTATAAACTATATAGTACCTTTGTGTGGACATGAAAGTGAGATTAACCTTAGCTCTCTACATAAGAGGGTTTGTTTGTGTCTGACGTGCAGGGCAGTAATTGATCCGAAGGAAGAAACACCGCCATTACGGTGAGTCGGTCTTATGGGAAACGCGATCTCGTAGCTGCGAGGATTGGCGAGAGGTGAACTTGGCCGTATGCAAATTGGTTGGTGTTCGCTGGCATAAAGGTGACGACGGGAAACCACTCGGGAGATCGTGTGTAGCAAACTACGAGGTGGTGTTGTGCGAAGATCAGTGGAGTTTTGAGGCGATTGTTTGTTTTTTTGGATAACTACGTTGTGTGTTTCGAACTGAGGTGTTGTTGTCTTCACTGGAAACTGTGTCCTTCTTACGGAGAACTGAAACTGTTTGTATTTTACATAGAGTAATTCCATCGAACTGTTCAGCACTCAATGTGTTGAAGCTAAATCGTTTTGAGCAACCTGTCTTGAAGATGAGGAGTTTTCTTTCTCCCGGAAGTAGGCGGTGCCGAGCCAACCCGTTCCCTTCCTATTGTTTGTTCCTGATTTTACTTTACTTTGTTTTATCAACTATATAGTACCTTTGTTTTATCAACTATATAGTACCTTTGTTTTATCAACTTTATAGTACTTTTGTTTTATCAACCTTATAGTACCTTTGTTTTATCAACCTTATAGTACATTTGATTTGGTAAAACTTTAACCCACCAGGACCTATTCTTACTGTTCTTACATTTTCTTGCCTATATTCTTTTCTACCAATTGCTCACTTGACATACTCTTTTGCATTCGAATGCAATCAATTTTTCATTCTTAATTATATATCAATTTTCACAAGATTCCCATAGAACATGTTTGTACAATTTCTTTCGTATTATTCTATATTTGTTTTGGTTAATGAAGGCATTTTATTGCAATCCATCCATTTATATGCCTTTTTATGTAATCTTCTACTGCATCAATTGATATTTCAGTTGTTACATGATCTCCATCTTTTACCTGAAGTACTGTTCAGTTCAGGCTTGATAGTAATAATCTCACTAGCTTTCTTTGATCGCTTTTGTCTAATTTCGAAACGATACCAGTGTTTTTTTCTTTTTTCATGTGAAAAACGCCGCTAACAGCAACATGCTTCAACTGGGTAACTTGTAAACAGATCTTTAATATTTCAAGCTGAAAGCGATTTGATGTGGAATAATTTCGTTGTGTTATATCGATGTCACCTTGACTTACAAAATCTCTATTCCGATATTGAAACTAAGCTAAAAAGACACTAAACATGACACAAAATGGCGAAGTAAGCTAGTTTTATGAAATCTATATTTGATCATTTAATATGAGAAATTTGCATGTGCCACTTTATTTGGAATAATCTTAATTTTGAGGTGTGTAAAGGGATTCATTCTTTTTGAAAGACTTATTTTCAATACCAAAATGCGTTCAACACTGTATCGCTTTCTACTACTATTTACCCTTGTATATAAAATCTGTATATCAAAACTGTCAATACAATCCAGAATGATCACAGGTAATCCTCTCGAAAATACATTGTCTAATTTATTGTTAGCGCATTTCATTTGCTCATTTGCACGTTTTGTAACTTGAGGACTTCGTCCGACTAAATTTTCTATGTTGTTAGGACTAAACATGAACACTGTGATAATAGAAGATCTACCAGAATGGCGAAAATGTTATAAGAACCAGGATTCAAATTTAATGGAGACGACCTTGTGATTGAGGCGTTCATTTGACATTTACGACGTAGTGATTTCTTTCTTTTTTGATCAGAGTAGCTTTTTTATGTCTAAACTGTGGCCATTCTACAATCGAAAATAATCTATCTATTACACCATTCATGGCAGATCTTCTATTATCACAGTCTGGAATGCCTATGAATAAAAGTGATGTAACGAAAAAGAAAAAAAGACTCTAAATGAATTCGGCTAGAAAAAAAAATGTAATATTCCTAGCATCCGTCGGTCGTGCGCATGTGCGGTTCTACCAACATAAGAAATTTACTCCGATGACGTCTTGAAGGACGATACGCGTCACAAATAAACTTTTTCCTCTTTGTCATACAATTTCCTGTTCTTCATATATAAAAATATATATCTCATATAGATAGATAGATAGATAGATAGATAGAAATAAAGTTTGTCCCTTAGCTGATTTAAGTGATATTCTGCAACTTAAATCAGGAGTTTCACAATTGTTCCGCCGATTTCTCCGTAGATTTCACCAATTAATTCCGGATTTTCTCATATTCGTTATTGAAATATTTTAGTATCTAAAAAAGTTCTAATGCATTGTAGCGGAATGAATAAATATATGTTTGTTGTTTTATGCAAATATAGATTTCTTTAATAATGGTTTTTATAATATATATATATATATATATATATATATATATATATATATATATAGAGAGAGAGAGAGAGATAATTGGAGAAAGAGTTGAAATTGAGTGAAAAGTGGTTAGGAAACTTAGGACATATTGAAGGCAATAGGAACTGGTGGAGAATAACGCATAACCTATCTAAAGAGATTGTATAACTGGTTAGCAAAACAGATAAAGAGTTATAGTAAAACACTAACTTTACTGAGAGCTACAACGGACAGGAAATTGTGGAGAACCATAAACGTCTACGTCTTGAGTAACATTAATAAACCAAAGTACAGGTTACTCTGATGCTGATTCATACTTGACTCCCACTTAAGAAATGCATCTTTGAAAATTGAATGGAAATTAAATGTCAGAGACATTTGCTAAAATATCGATACCTCTCGGAAGAGGAATGAAGTGGTTGCTGCTTTGACAGTTGGCCTAACAGGAGTTGGTT